TTCCTGCTTGGTCCGGCTTCAGCCATCTTGCAGATATCAACTTGAGAGTCCGGAGAACACAATGAATTCACTGAGATCACCGCTGTGGCAGTTGCGTATCACAGATTGCAGCGATCCCGAATTCGACAGCGAAACGATGCACAGAGGACTCGCGCGGCTTTTCCCTTTTCAAAATGGCTGATGCCGGCGGATTCCGAGCGTTGGAAATCCGAGAGCGCCATCGCTCGGAAGCATGCTGAGAGGCTGGAGCGCGCGCTTGAACACAACATCAGCGCTCCCGAGCGGTATTCCGCGGTCCACGAGGAGAATTTTGAGATGACGATTTTCGTAGGGAAAAAAAGTCGGCGGATCGAGCCGCTGACCCCCAGATCGGGTGAATAGGCTCATTCTAGGCACGTTTAGCCATCATGAAAATTTTCGAATTCGGCTTCCCTGAGGAGTTATCGACTGAGTTTAGCGACAACCCAAAGTTTTGGTAAATTTACCCGATTTTCAAACCGAAGTTTACCCCTTCCGCGTTTCCCCCAGGAACATGGTACCTGAATTTTTCCACGGCATACCTCCGCCAGGTTGTCCCGCGTCGAACGCAACCAGGTTGAGCCCGATCGACCCAGCGATCGCTGAGAAAGAGGCGATTTCGTGGAGCAACGAGAAAAAAGTGACCGATCATTTCCAAAACGCCCGCAACGGGTGAAGTTGGCCGAAATCGGAAACGGAATTGTGTCAGTCAGGGCGAGAGCTGTTGATTGGTGGGTTATTTCATATAGTTTCATTGAGCCGTTCGAAAGTTAGGGCCGGGACGAGGGGAGGGAAAAAATGTCCCGACTAAAAATGACCACCCTGTAAACCTTAGTCCGCCTCACAATGTCAGAGCTCCGCATTGGGGGACCTAACCTAACCTGACTCACTATTGAGTTACTGCTTCGGTCGGTGCCGAATTTTCCTGGCCCTGAATTTTCCTGGCGCCGAATTCTCCTGGCGCCAAGTTCTCTTCGCGCAGAAGCCAGGACGTCAACGCTTGAATGGCGCTTGAAGCAGCTCTTACATCTTCGAGAATCACAGAGCTTTTGACAAAATGTGTGATGGATTACTTGCAATGTGCCATATCAAGATGGAGCTCGTCGATGGAAGCCATGCGCGCGAACATTTTGAATCGACCATGCGCTCAGATCGACCATGCGCTCAGATCGACCATGCGCTCAGATCGACCATGCGCTCAGATCGACCATGCGCTCAGATCGACCATGCGCTCAGATCGACCATGCGCTCAGATCGACCATGCGCTCAGATCGACCATGCGCTCAGATCGACCATGCGCTCAGATCGACCATGCGCTCGAATCGACCATGCGCTCGAATCGACCATGCGCTCGAATCGACCATGCGCTCGAATCGACCATGCGCTCGAATCGACCATGCGCTCGAATCGACCATGCGCTCAAATCGACTATGCGCTCAAGTCAACTATGCGCGCAAATCAATTTCGCTCAAATCAATTTCGCTCGAATCAATTTCGCGCAAATCAATCTGCGCTCGAATCAATTTCGCGCAAATCAATCTGCGCTCAAATCACCCGTCACCCTCTGAAGATAGAGGCTCGAACTCGATTGACAGGGCGCGGAGTGAATATCCCGCACTCGTTCTATAACTTTGGAACAGTCGTCGTTTTTCCTCCTAAGGAGCCGAATGAATTCCCCGGACTCAGGTGTTTCATTCGCGTCAAAATTAAGCGACAAAATTCGACGGCGACACGTCGCCGTTTCGCCGGATATCACTTAAAGTCGGACAGGCAATACAATATGACGCTGGGGGTAGCTCTCTCACGGTCCGTCGTCTTCATTTGGGGCGCTAATCGGAGTTCAGATCAAGACAACTCACCATGATGAATAGCAGCAACAGCAAAAGTGGAGAAGACGTATGATGGCACTCTGTCTCGGGACAAAACCAATGAAAACTCGAATCTTATGGTTTGACAATCTCGCTCGCTCCCGGAGACGCGCTGAACGCTCTTGCGCCTTAAGCGCTCGTTGTGCAACTAATAGCGCGTCGACTCGACGTGCCCGAGCTCGCACATGCACGTTCAGCTGCCTCCCGAACGGCCACTCGAGGAGTTTTATTCGGTACACCCCAACTCGCCGCGACCAGCTCGCCGCGACCCAACTCGCCGCGGCCGACTCGCCGCGACCCAGCTCGCCGCAGGGTCCAACTCGCCGCGGCCCAGCTCGCCGCGGCCCAGCTCGCCGCAGGACCCAGCTCGCCGCAGGATCCAACTCGCCGCCGGAGGCGACCACCTTAGAGCGACTCGTCCTTGGCTCATTCGCTTTTCACATTGAGTGCCACTGAGGGACGCCGGCGTCTCTCAGTTATCCCGGGAAACCGGAAAATTCCGGCCGGTGGCACTTTGTGTGTAATGCCGAACGTTTGTAGGATAATAGAAATTCTCGGCATCCAGAGAAGAAATAATCGCATTAGTCGGCACAGGGGGAGAAGCTTGCGGAATAGGTATCTCACGAAAGTTGGTGGCCCTGACAAGGCCGTTTCTTTGCTCCCAAACACGAGCGACTTGAGCCGTGTCGATCTCCTTTCTTCAGCAGGATCACAGCCATGACGATCTATTTCCTACGGATGGCAAAGCGAAGATGGCAGAACATGATACTAGATTTGACAGTGTCGTATTCGTGCGGCATCCTGTGAAATACTGAATTGTCATTTAATTTAAAATCACCCGAATCCGCGCGACTGCCGACCCGGGAGCAAATCTCCGACCGCAATCAACCCGGGAGCCCAGAATGCTACAGGACTCGCCGTTCGGTTATGAACCTTGAGCAATCCGAGTGGTCCATGACTCGTCATGAGGAGCCCCACCTAATCGGCGTTTAAGACGAGTCAGAGGGTCAGAGAGGTGTCATTATGTGGCCTGCATAAATATTGAGATCATTGCTGATATAATAAGATGATTGCTAATCTTTCTTTACCCTGTCTCCATGGCTTTCCCGGCTAATTCTGGAATTTCTATGCTCCTGCAACCATTAGGTATTAGGGCGAATGAGCCAAGGATGAGTCGCTCGAAGACGGTCGCCTCCGGCGGCGAGTTGGACCTTGCGGCGAGCTGGGTCCTGCGGCGAGCTGGGCCGCGGCGAGTTGGACCCTGCGGCGAGCTGGGTCGCGGCGAGTCGGCCGCGGCGAGTAGGGTCGCGGCGGTTTTATTCTTTGAACTCTGACTATGCGTCACACTCCCGCCGAATTCTCCGGCTTACATTTCTCTTGGCTGGCCGTGTGCGCTACCTCATATATATATTCGCTCAAGCGGTGGACATTTGAATGTGGGAGAAATGGATATACGAGAATCCTTGTTTGGCCCTACTTCCTGGAGAATCTCGACTGGATCGCAACTACGGAAATCGCATTTTTTTCCTTTTATCTGCATCCGCCGTTCTCATTGTTCCTAGATAAGTAAGACTTCGAGTGGGTAAAGCCAATGAATCGGTAAGACCTGGCCTGAAGCCGTCCTGATGAGGCAGGATCGTTGCTTCCGATCCGTTCTCTCCCCGCCAGAAAGACTGAGAACCCTAAATAGTGGCCAACGCGCTTTCGACGGACTCGGGTCTTGCAATAGGCAGACGTCGCCTACTTGGATGCTCCGCGCAGTTATCGGCGATCTGATATGCGCTGTCCTTAGATACTGCAGGTATTCCTCCGTGAATCGCTCCTGGAAAGCTCGAATTACCGATTGTTGGTGTTTCCAGCGCTTTGAGAAAACGATAGAGTCTGCCGCCTCTCGCGTATTCGGCTTGAATTTCATCCCCGGCAGTGTCGGCTTCGCTCTGTGGCCATAGAGAAGATCCGCTGGCGACAATGCACTGATCTCGTTCGGGTCTAGTTGCACTGACGTGATCGGCCTTTGATTCACTAGAGATTCTATTTCCATCAAAACCGTTTCGAGTTCCCTGAACCGTAACGCGTTTCTCCCAATAATTTTTCGAAGTGGACGTTCCACCGTTTGCACCATTCGATCCCACCGCTGCCACCATATGATGGCACTCTGTCTCGGGACAAAACCAATGAAAACTCGAATCTTATGGTTTGACAATCTCGCTCGCTCCCGGAGACGCGCTGAACGCTCTTGCGCCTCAAGCGCTCGCTGTGCAACTGATAGCGCGTCGACTCGACGTGCCCGAGCTTGCACATGCACGTTCAGCTGCCTCCCGGACGGCCACTCGAGGAATTTTATTCTTTGAACTCTGACTATGCGTCACAAGACGTGCATGAGAATTCGAAAGCGCGCCGAGACCATGGTGTGAGGGACCGCTCGAGGTATCGAGCGCAATAGCCATCGCGGGAATAATTTTCGATGGATATAATATACAGTGGAAGCTCGTTACTACGAACACGAAGGGACCGACGAAACTGGTTCGTTGTACCGAGTTTTCGCTGTAACGAATGCCGCTCAACACTATCCCTATGGCGAGCTGGCCAAAGGAGGCGAAATTCCTTGTTCGTTGTACCGAGGAATTCGTTGTAATGGGGGTCGTTATAACGAGCTTTTACTGTAACGAGCTACGCAATATTTAGCGTTAAGGAATAAACCAGGGAATAAACCCTCTAATTTTTGAAGGGTCCAGGCTAGGTTTTGAGGGGCAGGGGTCCGGAATGATGCCGTGCTGTACACTCAATCTTTAGGGAATGGGAATTTCCGGGCCATGCTCCCCCCGATTCGCGCCCGGTATAGCGGGTCGCAGGCGAAGATCATCAATAACATTGTTTTCAAAAGCCAACCCGCGAGCCCTTCGCGAGAGAGAGCTGGAGAAGACGCTGCTCGTGAAAACAGGTTACCCAGACTCGACACCCCCTGTCACGTCCAGTTGTTCCGCAGTGACGACACAGTCTCTCGGGAATCACGCAAGGGGTTGGCTGGACCGCGTCGCGGTGGAACATCACTAGGTAGCCATCTTCAGAGGAAGTGAGCGGCTTGCTACGTAAATCGCAATTCTCTTGTCAGTAACGAAGTGGTGTGCAACATCTTTCCTCCGACTCGATTCTTCCGAATCTCGAGTCGAGATCGACCGCTAGGTATGAAAAGTTTCCCTTAGCCGGGAATCTCGGAATCGATTTGTATGGTCACCTTTCTCCTCGGATAATTTCTCGAATTCTCAGCAACGTTTTTCGATTGCAGCGTTCGCCAACATCGCTTTCTCGACGGATTCAACCATCGTCATGGTGAGTTGCCCCGGTTTGAATTCCGAGGAGCGCCCTCAAGGGTGAGACATCATCATCAATGACAATGGCTTTGTGCGCTCCCGATCCTATGGTGCCCGTCTGTCGAAGCATTCCCATCTTTTAGTATAGGACTTCTTGAACTGTTTCCCTGCGAACTGCAGGACCAGATATTCGCTTCGTAATTTCCATGGGACGTCTCGTAATATAAATGAATAAGCTCTTCATCCGTGAACGTTATTTCAAAGGAGGGCTTCTAAGACCCCCACTTCGAGCGATCGCATGCGAGTTCCGGCTATTGGACCGTGATCTGTGCGAGGTCGATGTAGGTGTGAAGTTCAAGGAGTGCGCGAGAGCGTTGGCTAGCCCCATCCAAGCACAGAGGTGAACGGAACGCGAAGTCGTGATATCCCACATTTGGAGCTGAACAACCTATGTCTGACCTCCGTGCAGCGAACAGCAACCCCTGACGGCTATTTCGAAATTAGACTGCACGGGCTCCGGGAATTCGAGATTTTGACCTCATTTACTTTTGGATGGAAATTCGGCGCAGGTTCTCTGCCACGTTACCGGTAAAGAACAAGTTAATGTAACCTTCCAGCCTAAACGGCTCAGCAGGGCTCAACCCGAGAAAGAAGTCGAGAAATTGAGATCCCAGCTTGAAGAAAAGGTAATTTCTTCTCCATCCAAGCCGAACGATCGAATGAACCACAGCAACCCCTGACGGCTATTTCGAAATTAGACTGCACGGGCTCCGGGAATTCGAGATTTTGACCTCATTTACTTTTGGATTGAAATTCGGCGCAGGTTCTCTGCCACGTTACCGGTAAAGAATAAGTTATTGTAACCTTCCAGCCTAAACGGCTCAGCAGGGCTCAACTCGAAGAAGAAGTCGAGAAATTGAGATCCCAGCTTAAAGAAAAGGTAATTCCTTCTCCATCCAAGCCGAACGATCGAATGAACCACAGCAACCCCTGACGGCTATTTCGAAATCAGACCGCACGGGCTCCGGGAATTCGAGATTTTGACCTCATTTACTTTTGGATGGAAATTCGGCGCAGGTTCTCTGCCACATTACCGGTAAAGATTAAGTTATTGTAACCTTCCAGCCTAAACGGTTCAACAGGGCTCAACTCGAGGAAGATGCCGTGAAATTGAGATCCGAGCTTAAAGAAAAGGTAATTTCTTCTCCATCCAAGCCGAACGATCGAATGAACCACAGAGATTACCATGTCAAAATTCCCTTCCGAGATGATGATAATCGACGGAACTCCAATTCTAACAGGTAAACCACTTCCTTTTACAGGACGAGAAGGCTGAGTGGCTGGAGGAGCTTACGATGGAGCGTGTGAGTCTACTTTGCTTGCCTAACACCATCAAGTCAAAATGAATCATCGTTACTTAGGAATCTCGATACGGCGATAATCTATATAGAATCTCCAGCTGAATCTCCAGACCTTACTCGGCTCAAGCTGCCGTTGGGAACCTAGTTCGTTTCGCGGGCCACTCTGCCGATCGGTGCTGTTGACGGATCCCTGTTTCAAGCGCTAAAGCATTGGTACTGCCGGTTGAGGGAGGGGCGAAGATTCTGGCGGAAAGCTCCTCGACTTAAGGGTGATCACCAAGGAGTCCTGCTCATTATTCATGCATAATATAGTAATTCTCTCAAGACCAGGATTGCCCACGCTTCTCTTCGACACCTGCCTTCCCCCGGCTCGCTCCCATTCGGAATCCGGTCGCTCACAACTTTCGGAGAGATTACTGAAAACTGGATTCTGTTTACGATAGGTGGCACCGATATACGAGTGGCCTTTCACCTACATACGCGGCAACTACTGGAGTCATACAAATCGCGATCCACGCTCTCATGTGAACTCGAATGATGAATTTGGAAAATACCTTTCCATTTCCAGGTAGCGAGACGCCAAAAGGTGGAGGCAGACATAGCAAGACTTGTGAGTTCATCCGTGGCCTCAGAGACTCTGATATATACAGTAAAACCTCGATTATATCAACTAATTGATGTCGAAAAATGTTGATATAATCAAGGATTGATATAATCGAGGTTCCATAGGAATACATGGGAAACTCGATTATATCAACCATTTTTCCCTCACAAAAGTTGATATAATCAAGGTGGAGCTTTTGAGAGTTGACATAATCAAGGTTGATATAATCGAGGTTCTACTGTATGAATATATGTGAAACGGTGAAAAGAAGTGATCAAACGGCATCTGATCGAAGAGCCGCCGAGGAGTTCCGTTTATCACCGCTGATTGCTGCGGATGGGCTCCGCTTGTCCGATCTTCTCGCGAAAACAGGAGGGCTTCGAAAATCACCTTGACAGAGGAATCCTCTTTCAGCATGAAGCTGGGGCAAGAGCCAAGGCGGCGATGGCACAGTTGGGAGCTCAAATCCTTCTGTTGAAATCCCAAGAGCGGTACGTAATGTCGCTGATCTCGTGGCATCGGAAAACGAAGCTACGAAGTATCTTAGTAGCTCCATTTCATCTTCAATGCCTACTTTTGACTAGCTTATGGTGTCCTATAAGATCCAGTTGGAGTGCGCGGAGAAACTGCGGGAGGAGTTCCGAAGATTGATAAGAATCACCGCGCTACCGGAGATAAGCTGAACGACTTCCTCTTACAGCTCCACGCAAACCACGGAGTAGATCGGGCGCGCTGCGAATCATCAAATAAATAAACGCCTTGTTCATGGTTCATCGAGCCACCTCATCACTTCAAGAAGAATGCCTGCATGTTTGGTAATCGGACTGTGTCCTGAGATGAATATCGATCGATTATCCAGTAGCCCAGGTTTGGGCCAAGTGGGGTTAGTTATCGAGGCAGCGAAGCGAGCATTGGCGACAGGCGATCGCGAATCGAAATACCTACTGTGTTGGTCTTCCGGAGCTAGTTTCGAACACATAGGCAACCTTCCCGTTCCTTTGGAGCCTCAAGAGAGCGACTTCCGAGAATTAGGCCTCCCGAGCTTTAAGAGAGCGACTTCTGAGGATTAGCGACGAGCGATCGGTGCGGCGGTCACAATCAGCTGTTATCATCTCAGAAGAATTGGTCATCCGAGTCAACATTGCGAGACATTAGCCGATGCTCTCAACTTCGATTCCGGAGAGTGTCTCCTGATCTTAAGGTTTGCCTGCCAGCATGCTGGAGACCATGAAAATTGGCAACAAAGCCGTGAGTTTCGGCCTGCAAGTTTCCCGTGCGAAACACACAGCTAGTAGTGGTTGGATCGTCGGCAATCCCAAACTTGAGGAGAAACTTACCTATATCATGCGGGTGTATGAAGAATTCATCGGCTTGAGAGAAGTGAAATTAGCTCAAGCAAAAGTGAGTGAGAATCTGGATGCGGCGGAAGATGAAAATAGACAGTTGACCCCGCTCACACCGGGTGATGATCCTCTTCATCTATCTGATCACCTATGCGAAACTCTGTGACTCTTTCAAGGTCATAGAAGCTGAGACAAAGTTCAAGCAAGCCCAGGAACGACGAATGCAACAGCAACAGCAAATGCTGAATATCCAAAAGAGCCTGAGAGAGATCCACGCTGAACTCGATAAAACTGCTCGTGGGGAGGACCGATATTTGCAATTAATAACAAAGGTATCGTCAGATTGAGAGGTAACTGTGGAATACAAGGAGCTCGATGGAATGGCCGCGGATACATCAGAGAGGGGTAATGTTTCTGAGAGGGGTTACACTGTAAGACTTACAGGAACACTCACTCCTGAAAGAAGACAGGGCTCTGCTAGCGGAGTTCCGAGCCACCGAGAAACAGGAATACGACAATTTTTCTATGTTATCGTTCGCTCTCCGCGAGTCCCACGAGAAAGAGCGAGCGCAAGCTGAGAAAACCAAATATTGGTCGATCATAGGCTCCATAACGGGAACTCTGATAGGTGATCAATTTCATTTCGAACTTCAAGCTTATCCTACCTCTCCAAGAGCGAGGAATTCAGCTTCCGATCGCAACAATTTCAGGAGCTCTGGTGAGCACTCTGACGAATCGATACAGGATGCAGCAGCTGAGAGAAATGATTTCGACAGCGTCGTCAAAGTCAGCTACAGCCAGCGACTTGATGGAGCAGGTGAGGGTTCCGCTCACATGAACGAGACTGCGGTAGTTTCCGAGCGAGGAATGGAAAAGGAGGAGGAGGGGGAGGCGATCTTCCCCAACCGTTGTTTGATGTATGCAGACTTCTTCCAGATACGTGACAGTCTGGACAGACGGAAAAATCCGAGCGAGGACCCGACAGCCGGAGCGGCCTCCGACTCATCTGCCGCTTCTCTGGAGGATGCCGTTACCGAGCTGATAGACAGAACAGCTCATTTAGAAAAAGTTGTCGAACAATATTCCGCAGTCAACATCGGTCTTCTATCGACCATCCTAGTGATTACCCCCTTGGTGGGCTGGATGCTTTCCAGATGAGATTGCATTCCGAGGAGAATAGATCTATGAGCTCCAGGAAGACACCGTTATTGACGTACATGAATAAATTCAAGCCATTCCCGGCTTCTGTGTCGAATTCCGTTCCGTGAATGTCACTTCGTGGATCAAGACGATATAGACAGATCTTTCTGTAGATACTTCTCCGGCTTCGACAATGCTTATGCATCGCCATCACTGTCCCGATATTTCGCGAGGCAGTTGAGCATGAAGAAATCATCACTGGGAGGAGCGGAGGGATAATTATACTATGATCTGAATGAAGCTTAAGGATTTGGTGGGTCGCCAAATCGAGAAACTCTTCCGCGGGCATCTGATGTTCGAAGAATGGTTCGGCTCACTGCGCGCTCAGCCGTATCGGATGACTCTAGCGGCGATCAGGTGCCATCGAGTAGAGATAGACCACGGTGATGTTGATGATGATGTCTCCCCGTGCTCTCTTCCGAAATTCGCTCGCAACAATCGTGGGAGACCCGGAATCTCAGAAATTCCTCTAAGTCAAACTCTGGCAGTGACATAAATAATCCCGAACTGGGGTTCTCGAGGCTCGCCGAGTTCCGTTCGGGCAACTTTTCGAATCCGAGCAGCGGTAGCGTTTCTCACCAATGATGTAGACTGTGCTGCGCAAACAGTAATGAATTTAGACATGACGTACACGAAATCGGGAAAATTGTGAAAGATCTTCCTGCTTAAAAGTAAGTTGACCTCACTCTTACCCTCGTGACCGGGATCCCATATCCCTAGTGTACCGGGTGGAAATCGGAATTTCATGTTGAGAAACGTCAGTTGGTTTTCCGCCGTCGATCCAATTCGCGTCTACTTCACAACGAGCATGAGTCGGACGAATGAGATCGTGTGGAAGGTCAACGCAGTTTTTGGGATTTCATTCCGCTCCTATGCGTTGATGCAATTGGTTTCGAGTCTCGCCAAGATCGAAATACTTTTCCCATCGAAAGTTTCAATATAAAGTTTCGTCAAGACACCGGTGTCCCACCGGAGAGATGGAGTTTAGGCCGGTAGATGCCAGTGTCCCGCACGAAGATTCATTAAAGCTTCTTCAAAGGTTTCTAGGAGTATGGCCGAGTCTTCCCAAAAGAGGCAGTCTCTGGAATATCTTGACTTCGATCGCGAAGATGACTCCGAAACATACGGAGGTAAGTCTCTTTATGCTAACGGAGAATGCAGGAACAGTACACGAAAATTTCCGCGGTCAAGCTCTATGATCCTTGCGAGGAAATTCTAAAAATCAACATGGGACAGGTACGCGCTCTCAGGATGAGCCTGCGGAGGTCGAAGAGCCCGCTGATCCCTTGGCTTCAACGTCAACACATTACGATGATTTTCACACGATAGACTGGCAGCGAGACATCGCTGCTGAGCGTCAGCGACACCGGTGAGTTCCTCGAGTCTAAAGAACCCACCTAACACTATTCCCTCGGAAACTATCCGGAGTTGAGCTTGATCTCAAATCATCTGACTGGGGAGCGATACCGCTCGAGGATTAAGCATCGAGCTCGATCGGCAAAATAAAGGTGCCTTTGACTGCAGTGAAATCAGCTCAGTCGCAACTCGCTTCGCGGAGCGAACGGAAGCGAGACTAGAACTTCCGCGGTGCAAGAGACTTCTCCACGGATAGTCAGCAGCGTTCTAATTACCTCAACATTCCTCCCAAATTCAGAGTCATCTTGAAACGGAAAGGGACACTTCCAGGACTATTGCTCGCTGGTTTCGATGCCTGTTCCGGTTGGCTCTGTGTTCTCATCGTTGGTGTGCTAGCCGGTTTCATCGCAGGTATACTTGAATACTGAAAATGAGATCCGATCTAAGAGATGATCAGATAGCTTGTCGCGATTATAAGTCGACGAGAATCCTGAGTCGTCTCATTGAATCGGCAGGTGTCATAGACATAGGCGCAGCATGGATGAAGGATTTGCGCGAGGGTGTCTGTCCTGACGCTTTCTGGCTGAATAAAGAGCAGTGCTGTTGGTCCTCAAACGAGACGTCGTTCGAAGGCGAAACCTGTGATCAAGTGAGTTCAATGGAGCTCTGGACCTCCTCTCCCCATTCATTCGAGAATCTGAAAGACTGTCAAGTAATCGTTGAGAGCATTTCCCGAATTTTGAGATCCCTTCGATTTTCAGTGGCGCTCATGGCCCTCGACTGTCTTCACATCCATCGATACTTCAGGGGGATGGCACTACGTGAGTTAATTCCCAGCTCACGAGTTTCCATGCAACGTCCCAGAGAAAAAGCCCCCATCGGGACTGACAGCGGTATCAATGTTTTCATGGTTCCAGATTCTGGCTTGGTTGACATATCTAGCCCTCTCAATCCTGATGGCCGGCTCTGCTGCTCAACTTGTCAAGACTTTCGCTCCCTATGCGAGCGGTTCCGGTATCCCAGAGATCAAGACAATCCTCAGCGGTTTCGTTATTCGAGGTTACCTCGGTAAATGGACACTTTTGATCAAATCTGTGAGTGCTCAACGCAAGATATTTTGACTAATGAACCGAGACGCATAGAAAGCTGGGGATAGGCGAATCCTCGTTCCGCCTGATTCGTCGATAGCGGACAGATGATCCCGCGCAAGTGCGCGGGACAATCATTTCCCAAGTAGATAATCATTCAGGGAAACCCGTCCGAATTTCCGTGTCGGCTCATGCTCGGCCGCCTTATCTTGCAGGTTGGCCTAGTGCTGGCGGTCGGTGCCGGACTCTCATTGGGAAAAGAAGGACCGCTCGTCCACGTCGCGTGCTGTATTGGGAATATTGTCGCCTATGCCTTCCCTAAGGTTAGCTGCCGTAAGAATCAATCGAAGATACTTCATCCTACCCGCAAGAGCCCGGGAACTGAATAGGAATCTTTTTCAGTATGGTAAAAACGAGGCCAAGAAACGAGAAATTCTTTCTGCCGCCGCCGCAGCAGGTGTTTCCGTGGCCTTCGGCGCACCCATCGGTGGAGTTCTGTTTTCTTTGGAAGAGGTTTGTGGGCTGAAGGAGGGGTATTTCTCGTTATCAGCAGATGGAAGCTTGATGGATTATTATCTTTCGATAGACGTGACCATGAGGATTGACATCCGTTCCCTCCTCCAGGTTTCCTACTACTTCCCTCTAAAGACACTTTGGAGGTCATTCTTTTGTGCTTTGGTGGCGGCGTCGGTTCTCCGCAGCATAAATCCATTCGGAAATGATCATCTGGTCATGTTCTCGGTCAAGGTAGGTATCGATACAGATATCTGAATCAACCGAGCCACTCTTCGATCTACACCCGTCGGTTTCATATATGAGATCCTTACGATAATTTCATGACATTCCGCTTCCAGCACGACTTCTCCTGGTCCTCATGGGAATTGCTTCCATTTTTGCTGCTGGGAGTATTGGGAGGCATTATTGGCACTGTGTTCACGAGGTTGAACCTGCGTTGGTGCAAGTTCCGTAAAGAGTCATCACTCGGCCATTACCCTATCTTCGAGGTGAGCCCAACAGACGCATCTTCCCAAGCACGATCAGATCGATGCCATTGGGATCACTCACCGTCTTCTACACGATGACTCGTTCCTTGAAGGTTCTAGCCGTTGCCGCCGTCACGGCCCTCTTCTCGTTTCCGAATCTGTACACGCGAATGAACACTTCCGATCTCATCAAACTCCTCTTTGTCGACTGCGGCATAGGCGATAGGACTCCATTGTGGTAAGTAGCTTATCCTCCTACACGGGCAGTCAGATACGCTGAATCATTTCATGCATCCGATCGAGAGATCATCCATTGTCTCGACGACGTGCGTAGCGGGAAAGAGCAACTAAGCTGGCCTAAATTGAATCGCTCTCGATTCCAGTGACTACAAAAGGAACTTTACGGATGCCAAGTCTCGGATTGATATAGCAGAGGCAGGAGATGGCGTTTACACTGCCATGTGGGAGCTCGGTCTCGCCTTCGTCCTCAAAATCTTCATTACGGTTTTCACTTTCGGCATGAAGGTGATCATTTGAGACTGAGCCCATTTGTGTGATGTCGTGCTCTTTCGTTTCATACCTCTATAGCGCCATTTTCCCCTGCTTCGATCCAGGTGCCTGCTGGGATATTTATTCCTTCTCTTGCGATGGGTGCCATAATCGGACGAGCCATGGGAGTTGCGGTCGAGCAGGCGATCTGGAATCACAGAACGTCTTGGCTCTTCAATGAGATATGCGCCAGTGGAGAAGGCTGCATACCGCCCGGTCTCTACGCCATGGTTGGGGCGGCAGCGTGTCTCGGAGGGGTCACCAGAATGACGGGTGAGAGAGGGAACTCTCGTTATGATAGACCATAAGCATCAGCCTCCGGAGTTCAGCGATGAGCCAATCGACCGGGTCGTTTTAATGATGTTTCCTCTCCTTCTAGTCTCACTCGTCGTTATAATGTTCGAGTTGACCGGATCAGTGAAATATATCCTGCCGCTGATGACCGCCATCATGGCCGCCAAATGGGTCGCGGACGCATTGAATAAGGTAATTCTTCGGCGCGTCACTTGCTTCCCTTGGAGCACTCGAAAGCGAGCCATGGGGATAAACGGATGAATCTTCTTCTCAGGAGGGGATATACGATGCGCATATAGGTCTCAATAATTACCCGTTCCTCGACACGAAGGAAGAGTTTCATAATACATCGAAAGCCGGAGAGGTCATGAGACCTCAACCCGAAGAAGGGCCACTCAAGGTTCTCCTGCAAGAAGGCCTCACGGTAAGTTCTGAATCCCGAGTATATCTTCCCTTGGCTCATTGTTGTCGTGCGACAACTAGACAGGCTCGAGTGATCGAAACGATCAGACCTCTTCGATGATTCTCTGTTCTCTCGAAGGTTGATCAGCTGACCGCATTCCTGGGAGCAAACACTCATAACGGGTTCCCAGTCGTTGTGTCCGAAACAGACAAGTCACTCATCGGCTTCGTTAAACGGAAAGATCTCACAGTCGCGCTCAGTAAGTTACTTCCCTATTCCCTTTATAACTCAAAGTTGACTTTGTTTCTCGTTTTGGCCATCGATCGATAGAAGCAGTCACCCTCGAAATTCCGCCTAAGAGTTTCATATTTGCTTCTAGCCATGTTGAATGCCGCTGAGAACATCGTCGGGTCGAGCCCGGTCGTTTTCTCGTCGCATCCTCCGGCGTCGAATCCTCCTCCATTAAAACTGAGAAGGGTAAGGGATTAAAGCGCAGGTGCCTTAGTTTAGGATAGATTCTATTATGAGAGTTCTTCAGGGCCTCAAAACCTCCCGGATAAATTGGATTGAACGCTTCTCTTCCGCAGTATCTCGACATGGCACCCTTAACTGTCACGGAAATGACGCCAATGGAAACTGTTGTCGACATGTTCCGTAAATTAGGAGTGCGACACGTGCTCGTCACATCAAACGGGTATTAGTTCATGAGATCTACGACATTTCAGCTTAGAATGTGATGGTCAGGCAACATGTTCAAGAGAGTTGACTAACCCCCGATCTTCCAGCACGATAAGAGGAGTCATCACGAAAAAAGATGTGCTCCGGTATGTCAAAACTATGAAGGGAGAATATGATGGAATTCTGATTAATCATCGACATGTAAATACTTTCGGAGCCGTGGATACGTGATCCTTCAGCGGGCTCGGAGAGAGTCCATCTTGGCCACAAGTGTTCATCTGGCTCGTTGGGCCAAGAGTGTCGGGAGGAGCATTCCCCATGTTTCGTCTTCGTTTCAACCAATCCATTTCTACGTGTTCTTCTTGTATCGCTCGTTTGATTTCCGGAATGGGACAGAATTAATATAATTGACGCTGTATTTTCCTGGGAATGAACATGCATCAATGACAATAAGTGAATAAACGAAGCACAGGTAACGATGCGAAATCCCGGGCCCTTCTGTTGACCAAGTTTATGCATTCGCTTTCCCGCCATCGACTCATTCTCAGAGTATGCAGATGATTTACAATGATCTAGCTCTCCAGATTTGGGTGGGTGGGTGCGAGATGTGCTCCGAGATTAGGTCCCTCTCGACAATACCGAGAGTTCCGCCCGCGCAATAATTTTCTCCGCGCACAAATATAAAATTCACTGGGGGTCAAATTGATAGAGCCTCTTGTGATCCAAGAAGCCCGTCAAGAGTGGCTCTATTTCTCGACCGCCAGTGCATCTTCAATGAGCGAAGCTGAATATAAGCATCATACTCCAGAGATCGATGATTGCTCCGTGGTTGCAATTCTGGAAAAAAAATTGGACCAAAAATGTGGCACACGATCTCCGATCACTAAATGAAAACACAGAGAATCATCGAGAGAAAGGATTCGGTGCGCACGGATTGAGTTCGACTAGGCCTAGCCTGTTGATTCGACTTGGGGATTTGAACCCTTGGTTTGAGAACTTGGGTCCTCGGATCTCACGGACGTGTCCGGTTGATCGAGAGCGTCAATGTTGTTGCGTGTATGTGTGTATGTCCGTGCTTATCTCGGCTGGGTCGCGGTACTTCTCCAGAGCGCCGGCAGACGCTTGACAGATGTCTGTAGCGCCGCCTGCGGGAGGAGATGACTCGGAGAGACCGCGCGCGATCGAGACATGTGCTCGTGTCGCTGTGTTATCCGTGGAGCGGCCTAATCCACACCCGTTTTTTGGCATCTCTCCTCGAGATGAATTACTCGAAAATTATGGGGAATAACTTATTGTAGCATGAATATTACTGTAGATGGTTAGTTGGGTAGGCAGGATGATAATTACCTAAGTAAGGTCCTATGCGTCTCCTGAATTTCGCTGTGTCTGCATGTGAGGTGTAAATGAGGTGTTTAATCGTTTGTTCGTTTCTGGGGTTTGGTGGAGTCGACTGGGTGAGGTATATGCGCAAGGAACCTAGTCCATTCGCCATAATGAATATTCATTGAATTATCAATGAATTTCTCATCGGAACAGTGCAGATTCAAACGGGCTTGCGTGTCTCTATTCTCAACAAGATTGAGCTCCTGGCCCAGGGTTCTCTCCACGGAAGGCCTCTCTTCCTCCCCTGAAAGTCTTCTGGGCCCACCCTGGTCGAACACATCGATGCACAGACATTGTAAGGAAGTATCCAGACCATGTCTCTTCGATGACATGATGTGATTTGACCATGATGTCTTTTTGCGATGTCAATAGCTGATCAATTATCTTGCTTGTATAATGTATATGCAGTAGTGCACTGTTGGCCTGCTCCCAATGGATCTCTCAATTAGGACCGCACCCCATGATTTCCGCCGTCCAGTCACTGGAGGTCCTAGGACGAATCACGACGCTTTCCGTCCGGCGCGCGGTTGGTGCTCGAAATATAATCAAAACCATTTGCGTCGCAGCCGTCATCAGTCATCAACAATTCGTTCGAATGGCTTCTTGAGATCCAAACCTCACCGCGATGAGGCCTGAAAGCAGTCACATATTTCGACCTGATTTTGTTGAGGTCTAGGTCGCCTCATGGTTGTCCTGTCTCTCATCTTCCCAAACCTGAGCTCCCACTGGCCGGCGACTCGGAATCCGGGACCCTCACAGGAAAACTGTTCTGTAACCAGTCTCTGCTAAGGGGTTTCTGTGGGACGTGGGATCGGGAACACCTCGAATGCCCCGGGCCGTGCATCCACGTGCTTGCTGGCGGAAAATTTCTGCAATTCCATGTATCAGATGAAAGGGATATTTCCCCCCTCTAATGCCATCCCCGCTCGCAAGTTCGGTCGAAAAATTCCTCACCCTCATCAGTCTCCTATCGGTACAATGTCGAGAAGCGAGGGACGGCCAAATTGTTTCTCATCTTCCCTCATACACAAATGTCCAGACTTCCGAAAGTATTTGTCGCTGTAGTGTACCGGGCTGATCATGGATGATTTCAACCGGAGTACTCCAGAATCGGTCGAAACGCAGTCACTTCGGGGTTGTCGGGGCACTTGACCACGTCGCACAGTTCTTAAAAAGATTCTTAGGTGGACAAAATTATTTTTCCGATCTTCGATGTTTAGCGCAAAAAATGCGTCGTCGGACCTTAAGCTGTGTGCAGGTTTTCCGCGAGCTGGTTCGCTGAGCGCGAGGAATCAGAGAATTACGCCACATTCGGGAGCGAGGCGTCGTCTGTCAGCCAGGTCAACAATCTTGATGGATTACGGAGGGCATAACAAAACTTGTCTCGGTCCCATACCCGGTCGCCGTGACAAGGGGCTGAGAGCGAGCTACAGCTAAGCTCATATTCGGGGTCGCGCATCAGATCCGATTGAGGCTCGATCTCTCTCTCCGGTTGACGTCGGCGTCGCTGGAAGGGTTTGTCTCCGGCTATTCGATGGGAGGGTGTCGACTCGAGTCATCCGTCTCAAAGAAGCACCCTCACCATTGACCCTCCAAAGCGATTTGGAGACTATCATTTATAATGCCGAGACGTGACGACGACGTGCTCAGGCTCATGCACAGATACGAATCACGCCCCCGGAAGCCTCCGTTCCCCGCCCCTGAGTACTTCCGCCCCCTCATGCACGGGTTGAAACAACAGTCGAGGGAGCTATGCGTCGCTTCCGTGTGTAGAGAGAACGCTTGCTCGCTTGGTTTGCTGAACGCCTGAAATTTTTTCCGGATTCATCGATGTTCTCAACGCTGTTCACCGTCGATCCCTGTTCGTGTTCGGAAGAGTTTGCATATCCTGGGATGAGCGTCGCGTCGGCAGTACACTTATCGAAAACATGATCGGTGTTCGTAGGAGAGCAGTCACATACGAAGGTCTCAAATAGCCCGGAATGGTAAGATGCTGCGCAATGCAGCGAGCTTCCGCGAACTTGGGAGAACGTTCCGCGAAAGACTCACACCTCGATCTAACGAGAATCATTATGTACGCAAAACCATCGCCAGATGTCAGAAAACGAATCTGAATAATTGACGGTGATCAAATGCTCTCAGGGAATCCCTTTCCAGTGGATCTTCAAGCTGGAAAAGAGTCCACCATGTTTCGGTGCGTAAGAGTCAGCCCAGGTTGAAACGTCCTTTCGCAGGAAACTCGGCGGGTAGAGCCGAATCGATCGAGGAACGCAGACAAGATTAGCGGGATTGACTTCCCTTGCCCGAGACCGTCATCTTATTCTCGCTCCGGGAGAGACACATGCTCACACTAAAAAAGGTGCAGGTCGCAGACCCGTCAAGGAATAACTAGACTAGTCGATCGGGCGTCGCGATTGTCAGACGAATCAGAATGACTGATTCCATCGGAATGGATCCTTCTTCCTTCTTTTTACGGATGACAAGCTGATGCAACGTTCCCCGCTGGGAGAGATCGCTCCCGCGATCAGGGCGGGTGTGGCCGGTATGTCTGACGCTCACGCTTCAGCAAACCGGGTGTCGCGTGCGGCTCTAATCGTAGAAACATTGGCGACTCAATTGCGAGAGTTTCTTCCGTCGAATCGCCCAGACCGCTACCCTTATCCCGATGGAGAACGAGAGATTCGAGCACCGGAACCGAAGACTCCCGCATGAGTTCCTCCTTCATAGGCCGATCCGATGCGGTGTAAAACGTATGCCGCGGAAAGTCTATCGATACACAACCAGAAAGAGTGGGGGAGGTGATTCCGAACGATCGTGTGAGTTTAGAAACTGAAAAATGGGTTCTTCGCTCCTCGCTGCGGCTAACGTAAGGACTACTCCTCGTGAGGTGATAAATCTCGACCAGATGAAAGTCCAACGTATTAAAAAGTTAATTCGGCAAGGCTCACTTGAAGCCGACACCTCTAGTCCTAGCCAAGCATGCGCGTCCCTTCGGATACGTCGAGCATCGATCTTTGGATTTCCCCATATCTTCCAGGATCCTCCTGGGTCCTGGGCTGCGAAAGTTCCTCGGCCGTCAATTGAACGGTGAAAGGAGCCGTCTGACCAGTCGCGGGAAGCTGTTCTCGCTTCGACGTGTCGTTTCCCAGGAGCCGTAGGAAATGAATTCGAGTTCGAGTAGCGCTCATGAGCTCTCTCTCTCTCATTCAGAAATCGGCGATTGAATTTTGTGCGAAATTCCGGTAAGCGTAGGCCCAAGATGTTTCCGAATGTCAAGCCAGAGAACACAGCGGGCATTATTTCCGCTCATCTAGAGATCACGATGGAACAAGTTGTTGTCGATGTTGCTAATGTTGTCATTCGAGGAGGAGTGTGCCGCCTCTTCATCAGCGAGTCGAGCGTGGTCGCTCGTCCTGCTGAGAGCACTGGAGGTTCTCTAATGCAGTGCTAATGCGATCTTTTGTCGGCACTCCTCAGCCCCTTCGACCACTGCTGCTTCCGCCACTACCACCAACCACCAGCAGCGACTCCACTACCACCCCGTCGAGCTCAGAGAGTTCTCTGTCCTCTCCGCATCACCCCTCCTCCTGCTGGTCCGAGCTACCTTGTTCGCTCCTTGTCAGTCTGCACATCCAGAAGCTTTCGTCTCTTCCTTCACCCCGAGCATAACAGGTGCGTTGCACACTAGATGTACGAGCGCCACCGAGAGATGAGAGGAGCAGCGAGAGATTGTCAGGGGAAGTAGAGGAGGAGGACGACGCCGACGACCAGGTACAAGGATGGTGTAGAATTTCCAGCTGCGCGAAACTTCCTACACCTCGGCTACCTGGCTGAAATTGAATTTCTTCTTCGGCTGGCTGGCTTGCTTTCCCGCCATTCTCGCCCAACTTTCCTCCATAGCTGAGTCACTCGAAACACACGAAGATCCACTGGAGGTACTTCCACAACTCCAAGTCGATTCACTCTTTATCCTCACATTTTTTTCCACGTATCCACCCGTGGGTCGGCGATTCATGGTGATGATTTCAACTTCGCGTACGATATAATGTCCGAGACGGCAGATAAATCGAATCGACCCATATACAGGGACCATCGCCT